TGAAACTAGAGCAATCAATTGACTTGAACGAATTAACAAATGAATACAAGAGATATCGAACTTCAAATGGGGATATCGTTGAGGCAGATTGTTATTTCTTATGTTTAGGGAAACCACTTGCATCGGCATGGCTTGAGGACACTATATTTAAACATGACTTGGATGATGAAGGAAGGATTAAGGTAGATGAAAAGTTGAGAGTCATTGGTAGGAGAAACATTTTTGCAATTGGAGACATCACAGATATTCCGGTGAGTACTTGCCATGATTAACTTTTATTCAGCTTTTCACAATCACATAATTGTTTATGCATTTTACCTTGCTTTATAACAAGTTACCAAGTCTTCTGCTGTTCATATGATTTTCAGACTTTTTATTTCTTGAGCTACACTAAGAGGTCATGTTTTGTTGCCAAGTTTTTTGGGCTATAATTTAATTTATGCTAACCATTAATGAAAATATTGATGCAAAATGAATGAGTATATTTCTTCTATATGCTCATGCAACTAGTATTTCTCCAATTCTAGTAGAGATAGATAGGTGCCTCGTTGCATTATTGTACTCCAATCTCTTGTTTTCTTGGGCAGACAAGAGGCTTCACTGTCTATCCACATCTTTCATTATTGTTCTTTAGTTCTTTTCGGTAACTTTCTAGGTGAAGAGAAGTATCCTAAATCCTTGAATTCAAGGCCTAAGCTACTATGTGATATCAAGTTTTAAATGGGAACTTATAGGCCTAATTTCCTATTGTTTACTGTGATTGCATAACTTGGCCCTTTATATACAATATGTCTCTGATTTTGTCCCATATAAATTGGTTAAATGCTTTAAACCTGTGACATTTTAATCTCTTGAGAAGCCCCTAAACGAAAGTTTTTAATGGAAATGTATACAAAAGGAAATCAAGCAAGGGTTTGCAGCACAACAGCATGCTGAGGTAGTTGTGAAGAACTTGAAGGTGATGATAGATGGAGGAAGAGATTGTAGTAATTGTAGGATGGAAACTTACAAGCCACAGATACCAATGGCAATAGTTTCACTTGGGAGGAAAGAGGCAGTGGCACAATTACCATTATTGACAGTCATTGGAAGAGCTCCTGGATTCGTCAAGTCTGGAGATTTGTTTGTTGGTAGAACAAGAAAACAAATGGGACTCAAGTCTGATATTCCACATAATTGACTCTTCCTTGTACACAATTTGCAAAATCAATCTTGCTTCACACTTTGCATGTCATATGGTGTATTTTTTGTCTTATAAGGTAAAGGATAATATTTCTTGGCACATATATTATTAAGTGTCTTCATTGTATACTTGGGTTTAGTTTTTCTTTTACTAGATAATCGTTCAAACAAAATATAAAAAACAACCTATGATTTATTTAACTTAATATAAAATTTGAATGAAATCAAATTAATATTTTATGAATCAAAAATTATTTTCTGAAGTGTATTACTAAAAGTGAAAATATTAATAATTCATTAAAAGGAATTTTCATCAAAAAATTTTCTAAAAGTGTATTAGAATATTTTCACAAAATTCTAATACAAACTTTGTTTTAAAATATATTCTAGTAATTTTATATGCAAGATACAAGCTTACATTTTTTTTAATTATATGAAAATTTGACGGATTGCACTAACAATATTAGTATATATTTAGTAGATCACAAGAAATAAGTGATAAGACAAAAAAATCCTTAAAAAATATTATTGTATTTTTTTTATAAGTGATAATTGAATACATAAAATAAATTTTTTGCTAATGAAAAATCTCAAACTTAACTTATAATCTTACTATTAAGGTTTGGGTGAACCAATTATAAAGATGAAATAAATTTTAATATCACTTATTAATTTAAATTTTAGAAAGATGAATAATAAAAAATATTTATAAATTATTCTTAAACTAATTATATAAGACAACATGATGTTATTTTAACAATATTATCTTTATTATTATTTTTTACATGATGGAAAAATTCAAAATTCTAACCATGAAAAAACTAAAACTATATATAAATGAAAAATAATCATAAACTTATAATTTTTAAAGTTTTTTTAAGATGTGTTATATATATTTTCAATTATGATAAGAATTGTAATTCATTAAAGAATATATTTCCAAATGTGTCTTTACTTGTCTAATAAATAATCCAAGAATTAATCATTCATCTTAATAATTCATAAACATAGAAAATTATTTTTATAGATGTTTTGAATAAATATATCTTATTATAATAATATAAATATTTCTATTAATTCATGAGTAAAAAATATTTTTACTTAAAAGACAATAAACTAATAAAAAAATCAATTTATAAGAACTCTGAAGTTCAACAATAAATTAGTGTCCTATATTATAAAAAAAATTATGAATAATATACAAATAAAAAATATTATTTTTTATGTAATTAAATTACTAATTGATAAATTTATATGTTACTTTTTAGTTCTAAATTGTTTATAAATATAAAATTGTTTATAAATATTATTATTATTATTATTATTAAAATATAAAAAAATTTAAATTTTACTATAAATACTTTAACAAAATTTTATAATTAATATTTATGTTGTAGTAATATATCATTTCATTATGCATTTTTACATTTTATTTTGAATTCTAACTGATATTGCAATTCAATTGAATTTTACTTTTATGTATATGGAAGAAATTTAATTTAGAGCCATTACTTATATCCTCACTTTTTCACTTTTCTTGATTTCACCTTTCTTGATATAACAATTAAAGATGAGATACTTATTAAAAATATAAATTAACATAAAAGGAAAAGTTAAAATAACAAATAATTAATCTAGTTGATAGCGTTAAATATGGTTTAAACTTGTATGTTTCTTAACAAATTTATTAAAACTAATGTATTTCACTAACTAGTTATTGAAATAAGAAAAATACTTTAAAATTTTAAAAACAAATTAAGCAAAACCAATCTGGATTGATTGTTTAAAAAAAAAATCAATTATTGTTTTTAATTTCGGATTCTCATAATTTCTCATTGAAGATTCATATCTTAAGTAAAATATCTAAAATCCTTTTTCCATAATTTTGTTTTTTATCCTAACTTTTTCTTTTTCTATTTCTGTATAACTTTTACATATCTATCCTTCAAGCACCTTCATCATTTGATTATATGATTTTTTTTATGGAGATTATGTTATCATCTCCATCAAATGCTTTTTCTAACAATTAAAGATAAGAAGTGGTCAATATTATGTATCAATTACATGTTTCTACACTTAAATTGCATAAACAGACTCAAATTGTTCAATCTGAACTAGTGTCGCGAAAATAATGTTGAATTCCTAAAAAATCAATATGAAAATGCAGTCCATATCGAGTATTCCGGAATGTATTTTCGAAAAGGCCAATTCGAAAATGCATTTCAGATTAGATGTTTTAAAATGTGTTTTCAAAAAAATTAATCCAGAAATATATTATGAAATATCCAATGTAGTATGCATTTCAAAGATGAAGACAAGTATAAGAATAAAATAAGATTTAATTTAATCACGGAACGTAGGAGAGAATGCCAAAGATGAAGACAAGTATAAGAATAAAATAAGATTTAATTTAATCACGGAATGTAGGAGAGAATGCCAAAGATGAAGACAAATATAAGAATAAAATAAGATTTAATTTAATTACGGAATGTATGAGAGAATGCGAGACATAAGACCCTCAATTTGGTTATATTAAAACAGAAGGAAATATAAAGTATTCTCATTGTATTTAAAAGAGGTGTCAAAATATTATAGACTAACTCGCTAATTTTATAAATCAAGAAATAAAGTTATTTATCTTTCTTATATTTTAAAATGAATCATATTTTTTATTTTAATAATGGACCAATTTTTATTTAATTAAAAATTTTAAAAATAATTAATTAAAAAAATATTTATATAAAAATAAAAATATTTTTAAAATTTAAATTATATTAATAAAATATATATTTTTATTTAAAATATAATAATTTAATATATATAAATTATAAGATAATAGATATATTTAATATTAACAATTAAAAACTTTTTTTATTATTATCATTCAATTTTTTAGTAATTTATTAATTTTAAATTTTAAATAAATAATTTTTAAAAATTTATTGTAATATTTTCTATTAAAATAAGTAAATTTCTTATGAAATTAATTTATAATGTATATATATTTTTTATAAAATTATATTACTTTATTTTTATTTAAAAAATAATTATTATTTAAAAAAATCGATCAATCAATAAATTTATTAAGTAATCTAACTTCTTCTAAGTAATCTAACTTAAATTCTTCTAAATTATGACTTAAACGAAGTAATAAGTTTGATTTAATTTAATAAATTTTATTGACTTAATCTAACTTATTTATTAAACCTTTTAAAAAATTTTACTCAACTCACATGTTTTTTAATAAATTCCAAAATAAAAAGTGGTATTTTTATAATAATCTTACAAAATTTTAAAAATTTTTACTCAACTCACATGTTTTTTAATAAATTCCAAAATAAAAAGTGGTATTTTTATAATAATCTTTTTGTAAGAGTGAACACAAATCAAAGCATCAAAAAACTATAATTTGAATAAAAGTAATTTTTGTTTTCAATTTATATTTTTGAGTGGTGATATTTTGACAATTAAAAATCATATCATCCTTAAAAAACTTATTTTTATTAATATATTATTAATATAATAATTTATATAATGATTTAATAAAAATAAAAATAAAATAAGATTATTATTATAATATTAAAAGAAAGTTATTTATATGAATTTTATAAATTTAGGTTATGAAAAAGTATCATTTTCCAATCTTTTTCTTTATTCCCGAACAGAGAGAAGCATCATCGTCATAGTTGTCCCGACAACTAATCCAAACTACACTAACTAAACAAAGTAACACAGACACCTATGTTTGACACTTTTTTCCTGTAAAAAATTGTTAGATACTAATTTTTTATTTCTTCCTTTCAATTATATAATCTCTGATGGCAATTGAAGTAGAAAACGTCATTGGCGAAGAAACGACGCAAAGAATTGAAATGGAAAAAGATGGGAAGAGAGTGGTGATCCTAGGAGGTGGCGTTGCGGGATCCGTCGTCGCTAAATCTCTTCAATTCCATGCTCATGTCACCCTCATTGATCCGTAATTCAAACATTCTCTGCTACTTTTTTTTTTTCTTGATTAATTATTCAAGCAGAAGTATTTTTATTTGAAATTGGCTAATTGAGACACCCTTTTATGTATTTAATCCATAAGGTTAATGGGTAGAACTTTATGGTGTGTATTTTTAAGATTATGCCCTGGTGCTCCTCCTCTTGGTAAAGAGAACGGTTTTAAGTGGCCATTTTCCACCTTGTCAATTTTTGGAATCTGTATAGCCTATTATGCAACTTCACAAATTTCCAAGTTTCAATTTTGAGGTTTAGAAGTGTGCTTTTGGAGATTTTTCCGTTGGAAATATGTTGGGGGTTGAAGGGGTGGCGTGCTATACATTGTATTGACATTGGAGTATTTAACTTTTCATGCACATGATGGTGCTTGTTCTTTTTCCTGCCACCTTTGATTTGGTTTTTCTCCTGATTGTGTGGTTGAATGCAGGAAGGAATATTTTGAGATTCCATGGGCAAATTTGAGGTCAATGGTTGAGCCATCTTTTGCAGAGAGAACGTTGATCAATCACAGAGATTACCTTACCAATGGCGATATCGTTACATCCAATGCCATCACTATTACAGAAACTGAAGTGTTGACTGCAGATGGCCATCGAATTGGCTATGACTATCTTGTTATTGCCACTGGCCATGCAGATCCTGTCCCTAAAACTAGGAGTGCAAGACTTGATCAGTTCAAAGAAGGTGAGTTTGAACATATATCTTCATCTATAATAACCAATTCAGTTTACAAATATATCAACATATTACAATTGCTCACTATGCATTTTCTTATTCTAAAAGTATTATATGATTTGTTGTTTCTCATCTAACTTGACAGCACTTATTTTTATATGGGGACAATTGCTCCCACACTTACCTACACACCACTACCAATAGAACACAAAAGCACAACTTTACCAATGTGCCAGTTCTGTAATAAAATTGAGTCTTCTAGCACTGGGGTACATTAGTGAGTATAATAAATTGAGCCTACATCTGTAATAAAAATCGGATGTCAATGTTTCTGATAATACTAGTGCTAAAAACAACAAAATTTTATCTTACTAAATGAAGGAAAATCCATAAGGATATTATTCACCATGAGGTTCCTCTTAGGTCATAACAATTTCCTCCAATGTCTTTATTCATCGTTCTCTCCTTTTTCATAGGGAAGAAACATTGCAATATACATTTTTTCCACCACTGCTTCCAGTGGCCTTCTTTGTGCATGTCCAAATTAAGTTATTTTTGGTTATCTTTTTTCTCAATTTCCATCACAACTCACCATATCTCTACATATACCGTCATTTTGTATTCTATCCTATCTAGCGTAGCTATAAATCTCTGTTAACATTCTTATTTATGTTATTTTCACTTTTTTTTTCTTGTCTCTTTACTACCCAACATTTATTACCATGGAGTGTGGTTGGTTATTTAGCAGTACAATCATGGAAGACCACATGATAACCAATTAAATTATGAGTATGTCATTATCTATATCACTGGACTTATTTAAAGCTATCGGGCATTATTTTACATTGTAGTTTTTGAGTCAATTGAATCGTGAATTGACATTGCTCATTTGGTATAATTTTTCTCTTTTTCTGGAATAGTTTCAACTATTGAATCATGTAAAGTTTGTTGTAGTCAGTACTTGGGTAATGAACTTCATTTTCTCTGGCAGATAATCAGAAGATAAAATCCGCTCATTCCATTCTGATTATTGGAGGAGGTCCCACTGGTGTGGAACTTGCCGGGGAGATAGCTGTTGATTTTCCAGATAAGAAGGTTATACTCGTACACAAAGGATCGAGGCTGCTAGAGTTCATAGGGGAAAAAGCTGGGAATAAGACTCTAAAATGGTTGAAATCAAAGAATGTTGTGGTGAAACTAGAGCAAAGGGTTGACCTGAACGGATTCACAGATGGACAGAAGATATATCGAACTTCAAATGGAGAGACCATTGAGGCAGATTGTCATTTTTTATGCATAGGGAAACCTCTTTCTTCAGCATGGCTTAAAGAAACCGTGTTGAAGAATGATTTGGATTCTCAAGGAAGGATCCAGGTAGATGAAAAATTGAGAGTCAATGGTCGGGGTAACATTTTTGCAATAGGAGATATCACAGATATTCGAGTAAGTGCTATTAATAACTTAATCAGCTTTTCACAATTATATAATTTTGTGCAAGTGCCTTATTTTATAAGAAAATCAACAAGTTACAAACCTCTTGCTTTTAACATGATATTCTGTCTGATTCTCTTGAGCTAGACTGAGAGGTCATGCTTTACTGCCTGGGATTTTACCAGAATTTAGTTTCTTCTTACTCATAATGAGAAACATTGATGCAAAATGAATTAGTATCCCCCCAATTCTAATCGTCTTGGGCATTTGAGTGCAGGCTTTACTGCCTGTCCAAATCTTTCGTTATTGCTCTTTAGGTCTTTTCAGTGGTTTGCTGGGGAAAGTGTCCTATTCCTTGAATTCGATAAGTAGACTTGTGTGCATAATTTCCTAGAATTTATGTGATTGCATTACTTGGGGTTGTTACATAGGAGTCTCTTTGATTTTGTCCTATATAAATTTGTTAAAATTCTATAAACCATTGCCATTTTAAACTCTTTATAAGCCACCTGATTGGAGGTTTTTTAATGGAAATCCACACAATAGGAAATCAAGCAAGGGTTTTTGGCGCAGCAGCAGGCTGAAGTGGTTGTGAACAACCTGAAGGTGATAATACAGGGAGCAGGTGAATGTAGGATGGAAACTTACAGGGCACATTCAGCAATTGCAATAGTTTCACTTGGGAGGAAAGATGCAGTGGCACAGTTTCCATTCTTAACAATCATTGGAAGAATTCCAGGATTTATTAAGTCTGGAGATTTGTTTGTTGGTAAAACAAGAAAACAAATGGGACTCAAGCATGATATTGAACAAGCTTGATGCTATATTGTGTGTGCATTGTACATAACTTACAAAATCAGTCTGTTTCATAGTTGGTGTGGTATATTGGTGTATCTTCATTTGGTTTTTTCTTTAAAGAATACATTTGTACCATATGTATAATACTAATGCTTAAGTGGTGTTTCCTGAAATTATGAGATATAATTGTGAGTCAGAACCATTGTATCGTTGACATATATGGTATGATAAAATTCATTGGATGCTTTGAAGGATTGTGTACAGAACGTTTGTTACACTGTATGAAAATTTCTTTTCTGCGTCATTTCTTTAATCAAAATATTCTACAACAGACAATATTTCTTATTCTTATAAAGGTGAAGTAACCTTTTATAAGATTGATGTGTATCTTTCTTATTGTGTTGAGATATTTCCTTCTGTTTAGCCGAGGTGAAGTCTGAATTGGTGGTTAGAGGTGTCTTCAAAAATATTTTGACGCTCTCAAATTAGGTGAGATAATAAATGTGTAATTAATAAACAATCAATGGATACATACTTTGAAATTTGTATCTATTTATAATATTTCAATAGATTTTTACCTTTATGGACTTTGGCTGGGTGCAAGATGGTCTTAATCACCTAATCAATGTATAATCATCTCATTACTTACTTATCTCAGTAGGGTCAAGACCTTTCTAGCCATACATTTTGAAGATTTGAGTGTTAATAAAGCTGAATGACATTGTATAGTATATGGAGCTGAATTTACCTATTGCAATAAAAATTCTGTTGTTGTTGCACCATTTGAATGGAGATCCAGCCATGTTTCCCTCTTATGTTCTGTTTTCAACCCTAGTACACCATACCAAACTCATGGATGGTGGGTACAAAATTTTTTTTGTTGAGCATGTTGTCTGTTGACTTCCATGGCCTGGGGGATTGTGTGTGTGCTATATTAAATTATAATAAAACTACGAATAAAATTTCTATAAGTAATTGTGGTAATGACATATGCATAAAATATACAAAGACAAGTAGAAGGGAAACGTTGCTATAGTTTCTTTAAGTGTGAGTTTGACACATTCAAACTTCAAAAACTCAGTAGTTTATGCTTTTAGTGCAGGGGGCAAACTTATCTTGAGCCTGAGTAAATCCTACTGATGTCAAAACCAAATTCGTCAATCATTTTATCTACTCATATTCTGTGTAATCATCCACTAACTTCCTAAAAGGTAGCCCTGTTCACTTCTCTTATGTGTGCAATCCAAGTTGGGAATGGTTTTTTCTTTGACATGTTGGTGAAGATAGGACAAGATAAACTTTTGGTGATGCTATTTTAAAATACTAAGATATTTTCGGATCTCAAATTTCTTGTTTCATGACAGAACGCAATAATATTGTTTAATCCATATGACCTATCTCCCTTGAGTAGGTATAGCAGTATAGATTAATGGTTGTTGGTACAAACAGTTGTTGGTGAATTTGATACCATGGTGTTTCACCGGCAAATCTGGTACCAAAATAAAGTGCTGGCTGGTTGTTTCACACTATTTTTGGTTCATTTAAAAGTTTTATCACTGTATTCAAAGACAATATCATTTTAAGATGGATCAATGATCAAGAAGTCATTTGCCATGAAGACTGAAAACTTACTTTTGAAAGAGTATTGAGCACTTCAAATACTCAAACCCACCATTTGTGGAGTGGAATCGATCCAACCCACCATAACAAATCTTCTGTCTAATTGGTAAAGCCTATTGCATGCGATGACAGTAACTATTAATCTTGAACATGGTATAAAACAAATGCAGTGTAGGGTGGTACAAAGGCTATTACATGATTTTAATACTATTAAGCGTTGAAATCAAATAACATGAAATCGTTTAATCAATAGTTTCAGATTCCAATTATAAGTATATAATTATGTTAAATATTAGACAGAAAAACAAGTTTTACAGCTCTGATCTACCATAGATTATACATGCGTTCTCAAATCATACGATAGAAATTCTCTCTCACCCGTGCAATCAAGATTGCCAAAATAATTTTGTAAGGGTGAATGATAAGAAATAAGAACATTCAGCTAAGAAAATAATATCTTCAAAAGAAAAAAAGCAGAGTAATAAAAAAGAAAAGAAGAAAAAACTACTCCTTTTGGGCCGAACTAACCTGTGTCCTGTAGCTATTAGTTCTCTTTGAGAATTTATATTGTAAGTTCAGGATGAAAGGCAAACATATTAAAAATGAAAAATTGAGACATAAGAAGAATCCCAAGCCTAACTCATCTAGAAGAAAGAGAAAAGTCAAATTTTCAACCAATTAGTCAAAAGCTGATGGATAATAACCTTATCTTAAACTAAAGGGACTAAGACAAAATCAAACGCTTGGTTCTTAATCTATTATTATGCTATGAAAGAAGGTCCTAGAAAACTTACGCCAGCATTTAATCACAATGCGCTAAGTCTCAGGGTCCAACTTGGAACTCCAACTCATGTCTCCAACTTCTTGACACGCACCGAAAAGAAAAAAAATATACATGAAATAAAATAAAGGAAAATATCTTGTATCATGATTTTATTTTAATCCGTTGCATTTGAAAAATCCCTCTAAGAATTCTGAATTAGCAAGTTACACCATATGCAGGCTGGCACCTGCACCTTTCTTTAAGAAACTTTTTTTGGCAGCCATCATCGTCAACGATTCTCGAATATTATATGAATTATATTATTAGAATTTTGTCATGTAATTATAACTTTTCATATTCTTGTGGGGTCTTTTTGTTTCGTTGAAATAATATTTTCCTTAAGAAATTGCACATAAAGAAGTTGGAACTCAGCTTTCTGGTTGTGAACCAGGAAGGTGGTAAGTTGACTACAGCTACAGCTTCCATTTGGCTTTAGTCTTATTTCTGTCCAAATTCAAAATTTGACATTTCACTTCGATGATACACGCAATGACGCAAAGACATCTATTTATGTTGTAGCCTTATCTCGTTGCGAGAACATAACAATCATTACAAATTACAATTTACAAATTAAAGTTCAACTCTTGTCAGGGTGATTAAGTTGCAGTCACTGAAGATGGCGGAGAAGAAAGTGGTCATCGTAGGAGGTGGTGTTGCCGGTGCCATCCTTGCAAAAAATATACAAAATCAAGCCAACGTCACCCTTATTGATCCGTGAGTTCTCTCTTTCTATATGTAGCCATATCGTGGTCTCTCTATAATCTCTTTTCTATATTTAATTGAAGTTCAATGTTGTATACAAGTATAAAACTATGGTTCATTTCAAACAATGTTCAAGTGCTTGATACTGAAGAGCTTGATTGTTAAAGTTTATATAAATAAGTTACCTCTAGATTTTTATTAAAATAAGTTAAAAAAAAAAAAAACTTTTACTTATTTGATAAGTTCAAATAGGTTTATAACCAATTTTAAACAGACCCAAAATTTGAGAGAGAAGTAGGCTTTATCATATTTCATGTGGGGTTATTATTTGTTTGAGTTTGATGTTTTGGTAATCTGATGTATGACTCGCTGCTCACGTTGAGGTTGTTATGTGTGTGGTTGCATTGACTGTGAATTGTTGAACACAGGAAGGAATATTTTGAGATTCCATGGGCAAGTTTGAGGGGATTGGTTGAGCCCTCTTTTGCTGAAAGGATAGTGATCAACCATAGAGAGTACTTCAAAAAGGGTGATCTTGTTGTATCCACTGCAGTCAACATAACTGAAACTGAAGTGTTTACTGCAGATGGCCAGCAGATTGCGTATGACTATCTTGTTATTGCCACTGGCCACATAGAACCTATCCCCAAAACCAGGAGTGAAAGACTTGACCAATACAAAGAAGGTAATACCTTAAGTTGAAGCCGAAAAACAAAGAAATATCTAAACTCGAACTAATGGAATATAAATCACTCTTGATCTTTCATGACTCATTTACTGTGAATTTAAGATGATTGTCCTTTATAGATTTGAGTATAATAGATCTAAGTTAGATTATAAGGAGTATGGCTCTCTGCTTGGATAAATCTTTTTCATATATATGTAGAGAAGAAAATACGATAAATAAACTGAATTGAATTTTTCTTGCAAGTTAAAATCAGCTCTTAGAAAAGTTAGATGAAAGAGGTTCTATAAAAGTTCATTTCAATTTTAACTTTTTTATTTTCTTTTCCTGTTAGTGTTTTATACAGAAGAGTATCCGAACTATACTTGTGTGTTTCTAGTCAAAGTTCCATTATATAATAAACTTTCGATTATGAAGTGATTTTCAATGTATTCATTTGACTTATGAGGAGAATTTTGCATGGCAGAAAATGCAAAAATCAAATCTGCAAGTTCAGTTTTGATTGTTGGGGGAGGTCCAACTGGTGTTGAGCTTGCAGCAGAGATTGCTGTTGATTTTCCTGATAAAAAGGTCACTATAGTGCATAAAGGAACAAGGTTGCTGGAATACATTGGGCAAAAAGCTTCAAGTAAGACTTTGAAGTGGCTCACATCAAAGAAAGTTGATGTGAAACTAGAGCAATCTGTCGACTTGACATCCTCTACGGAAGATCATAGGACATATGAAACTTCAAATGGAGAGACTATAGAAGCAGATGCTCATTTTCTATGTATAGGGAAACCACTTGGTTCCGCATGGCTTAGAGAAACCCTTCTAAAGGATGACTTGGATGTTGTTGGAAGGATCAAGGTCGATGAAAACTTGAGAGTGAAGGGCAGGAGCAACATTTTTGCAATTGGAGACATTACAGATGTTCAAGTAAGTGTTATTAACCAAAACCAAATCATTTTGGCTTTGAGCACCATATTTGTATCCCTTTTCCCTGCAATTAGATATTTCTACCTAATCAAATCATTTATAACAAATTCAACTTCTTTGTTTTTCCTCCACATCCTGACATATGGATTATGCGCATGCCACATGCTAGAGTCAACAATTGTCATTGGTTACGATGAATGACTTTACCCCTACATGAAATCCTAACCCTTCAATTCTTATTTTGAAGTTGTGGTTTAAGAAATAAACCCTTCAATTCTTCTTTTTTCTACTGGAGAAGATCCTGCCCTGTATGAATCATGTATTTTTTTCTTTCTGATTTGTTCAACTTTGATTATAAGTTTTACCTACTAGTAGCTTTGCAGAAAAATAAGAAATTATTTTACCAATTTACTTATAGACACACCAAACGTCTTTGTTAACAAGATTTAAGAAAACCGAAGAACCTTAATTCTTCCCTGATTCATTTTTTCCCTGTCAATTTAGTAAGGGCAAAAGGAACCAAAATCTGTAACTCTAGAGATTCAAGCATCACAACATGTGTTTAAGGTTAATAGTTTTAGTACATCTGTAATTGTGTTAGTCTACTAATCTTATGAAGATCTTTGATGTGTCAGTAACTTGATTCTGTGCATCACATGCGTGGCATTTTAAATATCTTCGCAAGAAATCCTTGTTGATGAAAGTTTGTTTGATGTGGCAGGAAATCAAACAAGGGGCGTATGCAAGTGGTCATGCTCAATTGGTTGCCAAGAACCTGAGGCTATTGATAGAAGGAGGAGGCAAAGAGCGCAAGTTGGGAACATACAAGGCGCAGCCACCAATCTCTATAGTCTCACTTGGAAGGAAACAGGCAGTGGCACAATTCCCATTCATGACAGTGCTTGGAAGGTTTCCTGGCATGATCAAGTCAGGAGATTTGTTTGTGGGGAAAACCAGAAAGGATTTAGGACTGGAACCTCATGTTAAAAAGTCTTAATTTGGTTTACTGAGTGGTGTGGAATGGTGTATATACTTCTTCAACTCTTCCTTTTCATAGTCATTGTTGTGCATGTGTAAGTTGTTATGTGTTTAATTATTTTCCTGGTGTATTCAACGGATTCCAATGTATCTGTATTTTCCTATTGATTTTTGAAGTCAGTATTGTCTCTTGAGAAATGGAATTGGAGGGATATACAATTGTTACTCTGTATTCTTGGACCAATGACTTTTACTGAGTCTACTACTGTTTTTATAAAATGCTTCATTTGCGTTTTGGTTTTATTATTGTTGAATTTTAACTACTTCTACTTTAATTAATAGTATCATCTAAAACCTATCATTCAATAAATTGAGATTATATTGTTAATGACTTCCATTTTTAATCAAAACAAACTAACTGACTAAAAACTATCCGTTTTCTCATCTCTTAAATCATGGCTGTGCTCATCATCTGCAGAACTTGATTCTTATACTTCTTTATGGCTAGCAGGTTGCCTACATTTTCTCAGGTAACTTATTTAAACTTTTAATATTGAGTATTTGATGGAGATTTTAAAAGAATTTTTCCGAATAAAATAATGTATATTTTAAAAGATATTATGAGGATGTAATTTTTTTAAAAGATTTTTATGATTAGGATTTTGCAATTTAGATTTTAAAAGATTTATAAAATTTTAAATCATAATATTTTAAAAAATATATGACTTTTAAAAAAATTATACATTTAAAAGGATAAAATTATCAATATATCTTTATATTTTTTTATAAACGCATATTTGTCTATTATTCTATTAGGTAAAACATTGTAACTCGAAATGTATTTTAGTGACAAGTTGGATTGCTATTACGATAAATCATCTAAAATATAAAATTACATTTGATATCAAGTGATTAATTGAAAATAGTAAATTATTTTGTTTTTATTTCTTTACATTAACTAACTTAATTTAAGTATAAATTAACTCTAATTTATAAAGAATTTTATTTTATTCTTTTTATTACTGTTATTATTTTTTTCTAACAAATTTTATGAAAAACTTTATCCAAAAAAGTATGTACAATATGTTTATGTGTGCATTACACAAAAGTTTTAGTAAATTTTTAATAGGAATTTTGATGCCTTTAGAATAACACTAGGACGACCAAATTAGATATTATTAGTTTTAATCTTATATAATAAAAAATATAAATTGTATATTAATCCATTTAAACATATTATAAAAAATATTGTTCATTAATATAAAACATTATACTATCGAATATTAATCCATAATTATTAAAAAAATATAATTATGATATTAAATTAAACTTAAGCACTGCATGTCTCTCTGATTGGGCAGTTCTGTATTGTTTGAGTTGGTTGCGATAGTTTTGTTTCATGTTATGGACTTTTAAGTCTTTGGGCCTCTTTGCATTTAGGTGGAAGTTTTTTGGGCTTAAAGCCCAACCATCGAAGTGGGCAAGAGAACTAGGCTTAGTGTGGGTAACTCTAAAGCAGGCCTTTACTTTCTCTTGTTTTAGCATATTTTGTTTCTTATTACAAGGCTCTTGCTTTTTATAATCTTATAATTTTTTCCTATATGTTTGAATTCAAGTCAAATATTTAAAATATATTTTTAATAGTTTTATTTTTAATTTTTTCTATTTTCTATTTATATATAATTTTTCCATCTCCATCCCTCAGCACCTATTTAATTTTCTTATGTTATCCTCGATTCAAAAACTTTTCAATTATTAATATTATGTATTAATTACATATTTTATTCCTAAATTTTTTATAAAAGATTTTTTTTCTTTTAATATTGAACCAAATATGTACACAAGTTTAAAAGCAACTTTACTCACTAAAAAGTAAATATTGTAACTAAATAACTGTGTTCTCTAAGTATGTTGAAAAGGAGGTTTCAAACTATTTATATATATAACTGACTTAAATAATCTCTACACTTCAAAAGAAAATAGTCTCATGTGATTGAACAAGTTATATTTGAAAAAACAACAAATTACTAGATATTTTCTATATAATTATATAAAAATTTATGAAAGACTTCATAATAAAAAAACGTCAATATAAAATAAAATTATATTTAAAAAATATTTTTGTAAATTATAAAGACTTATTTAGTTAAGAATTTAAAAAATATATTCTTTATTTAAAAAAGTGATACTACAACACCATTATTCATTTCGCCTAATTTCTTTTAAAAGGTAAAAGTAATTATTAATAAATTAATAATATCATGTTTATATTTTTTATATTATTAATTTTGTAAATTAATTATTTTTATTTTATATTAATATCCATCACATCTTTTATCTCTAATTATATATATATATATATATTCAAATATATAAATTATTTTTCTCTCTCAATTACCCTATGTTTTTATTGATGAGATCAAAATATTATTATAAAAAAGTCCATTTTATATATATAAATAAAATATAGATAATAAAGTAAAAGAAGATGAGATGATGTGGCAACCATTTTGTTTTTGAAATGCGCAACTTCATTTTGTACTTGGTTTGGAATGTGGTACGACACCTTTTTTAAAGTAATGTCATTCATCATGTTTAGTTTGGTAACGTGAAAGTCAAAATTTAATATTCAGGTCATTACTGTTCCATCTTCCTTTTCACTTTAAAAACTCTTTCTTTCAAAATTATTGATAAAATTGTTTTTATACAACTTTTCAAGTAAATTGGATAATTAATATTTATAATACAGTTTTTTGTATCATGAAGATATTCCAATTAAAATAAGCATTTAATTCTTAATGAAATGAAAGGAAATTAAATTGAAATAGGGTTTATAACGGTAACTTACAAGTTACAGTGGGGGGACAACGTGATGATTCAACACGCAACAAGCTAGCATGTTGTATTGTACTACGTTTTCCCATTTTGATATTTTGCTTTTTTATTTTATTTTATTTTTCATGTACTTAAAATATTTCTTGTGGCTAGTTTCTCTAATTGTTAAGATTTGTTTAGAAACATTAATCTTTTATAACATTTTCTTTTCCATACACATTGGACTTCTAATCAAATATATTTAATTAACGCTATTAAATATAAAACGTATAAAATGATATAATTATGTTTGAACAAAATTATTCATACTTATTTATAAATATATAAGAATAAAAATGTAAAATTAGTTTTTTTTTAAATAAAATTAAATTCCCATATAAATTAACTACTTTTTGTGTTTGTTTTTTTTTCTCTCTACTTTTAAATCTTGCAAATGCAATAAATAGTAATCTAATTCTAGATTCTAATTCCTTTTTAAAATTTGAAAAGAAATAGAGTAAAATATGTTTTTTATATAATGATTATAACAAATATTTATGTATAGTATACTTAAAAAAATTTGCTTGATTTTTATATATTATTAATTATTCTGTCAAGTTTTAAATAATCTTAGTTAAAAAAGTAGTTAATTTTATATGATAAGGTGTGTAAATTTAAATATCATCTAATAATGTTTGTGGAAACAATTTATTAATATATTATTAAAAATTCACTAAGGAAAAACTTTATTAATCTCACAATTTTAATATTATATATATAATTAGTCACAATCTTTTATGAAATGAGATTTTTTTATCATTAAAATCAAACACATCAGTGTACATATTATTTAATGGTATAGATGATATAAAATTAACTATTTTTTTAACGATGATGATTTAAATCTTAATGGTGTAAAAATTAGATAAAATATTTTTATTATACTAATCACAAGTATTTATTATTTTATTATATGAAAAACATATTTTACCAAAAATAATTCATAATAAAAAAATAATATCATTTTATTCCCAATTTTTATTAAAAAAATTTATAAAATATCAGTTAATCTAAGGATAAAAATGTTTAGTTATTATATTAAATTAGTTCTTGAATGAAAATATAAATTAGTTTCTAACATTTTAACTATAAAGTTAGATTTTACTTTAAATATTTAGAATTTAATTGTCAATAAGTAATTAATTAATGTTACAACTTAGGTTCTGATTAGAAACCAATTTAATTGAAATCATTTATAAGTTAATTAATATAATAATTAAATATATTTTGTATCTTTAAATTAATATACATGTAATAAATTTTTTATAATACTTTAACACTAATGTTATGTGATTTAAATCAATTTTAAATTACCCAAATGTTATATTAACATTATTTAATTACAACTATTAGTGCAATTATCTTCACCAATAATAAAATTTCAATACTTAACAAACAACCCATATATAATCACTTAGAACAGGTGTGGTAAAGTTTTAATTGAATGAAAAAAAATATGTATAAATTTTATAACTTACTTTTGATGTTGGTTGAGTAAAGAAATTGATTTAATTACTGTAGATATATGATAAGCGTGTGAGATTATTTATGAAGAAGTGATATCTGCTATTACAAATCAAAGAAGGTCATAATTAAAGCAGTTTTGTTTGAGTTTTGAAAAACTGGTAGCAGTAGAAAGTATAGTGTAGTGGAGGACACCTCAAAACGCACTTTTTGTCTTACACACACTGTTTCTGCTTTTTTCCACGCTTTAGCATCTTCGATCTGTGGTTTCTATGGAGTCTCAACGCACTTTCTATTTAAAAATGGAATTGAAAATTTTTAGTCTTAAACAACAACATAACGTGAATCCTCACTCATCCTTACAACAAAATAAAATAACTGTCTCCATTTGACTCTGATGACTAAAGTGACCAGCTATATTTTGTTTCTCTGTAAATTATTAGCAATTCAAAGAAAAGTTCCACCACTAAATTTTTAATATATTCTTTTAATGCACATTTTGTCATAAATTAAAAATTATAAAATTGTGAAAGAGACTCGATACATAATAAATAAAGATGGAGAGTTAATTAATATATCTCTGTCAAAGTAAATTAAAACAAGCTTTAAAAGTTAAAAGCTAAAAATTATATATGAAACTAAATCTAAATCAATTTAAGATGCATGTAACTTAATTAATGATGAAAATAAGCAAATGATAAAATAAAACGCAACACGTTACTAATTTAAATTAATTAAGTATTTAAAAGTCAATGAAACTAATAATATATATAAACATTTGAGTTAATTAGGTATATAGTTTAGAAGTGAGTATGTTTGCGATATGTTATTACAAAATATAGAAAATTTTATTAAATCTGAGAATTATGTTTATCAAATTAAATTATATATTATATCTATAAAAAAATTAATTTAAGTTGTTATGTATATATGCGATAAAATGATTATTAAGCATATGAATTTTTTTTATTTTGTCTCTATAGAATTTTATATATTATATTATATATGTGAACTAGTTGAAAAAATATAAGCTATAACGAGAGAGATGGAGAAAAAATATATATATTAAAAAAAGAAAATAAATATATGCAAGTAGTATTTTTTGAGGGATACGTGTATGATTAGAGTTAATTTCACTTTATGATCCAAGGCAGAAAATAATTGCATGTTGTCATATTCTTGTTTTTAATGGTTGAGAAAATTTGGTGGAGATATTTTATGAGAGTCTACAATAATTCTCTCTTCTATGGTGCATGATGATATATAGGGTTTGGATAATGTCTGAAGAATAATGGCCACAACTATGGAGGTAATGAAAAATCATGACCACCATAGCTGATTGACTAGATAACCACCTGTGTGATTGTTTGGGAATATTACATCCATAAGAAAAGTAAATATTGACTATTTAGGGGTTTATTTTTAGTATGGAAATTTAACTAGAACAAGCATTGCCTTAAATGCAGTGTAATGCATATGATATGACTCTATATATGTTGTTTGGTGAAAGCAATTTATCTTTTTCATTGAATTAATGGGACGGTGAAAAGCATGAACCCACTAATTAGATCACTCCACTTTCTTTCCACCTGAGAAGAAGTAACATGTCATGTGCCATAGATACTCTTCACCATACCTATGTGCATGTAGGAAGAATTAAAATAATCTCCAGGGTTTCACAACAATAATCATGATAAGTGCTTAGTTAATGAGATCAAGCTTTTAATTATGATAACTTAACCCAAAGGGGTTTCCACTGTTATCATGTTATGTCTTTATTTATTGACAACCATGTGATTTACACAAATAATCATCATTAATTGCTAGCTTTTATGAACTTTTGCTCAAAATGTTTCTATCTTTTGCCAGAGATAACATTGATCAAATAATATTTTTATAATATAATAAATTATTAGTATTAATAATTTTAAAATAAAAATAAAAATAAAAATAATAAAGTTTATTCTCATATTACAATAAAAGTTATAAATATAAAATATATTAAAAAATATAAAATAAATAATTATTAAAATAAGATAAAAATATAATAAAATAATTATTATTTAAAATTGACATAATTAATATAAGATAAAAAAAACTAATATATATTATATTATTTATGAAAAATTATATTAAAAAAATTTTATCTTAATTTTTTTTTTATTAAAATCGGTTCGACCAACGAATCTCACGGTTTTATTGGTTTTATCCTTTTATCCTGTTTGATTAAAATCCAGTTAAAAATAATAAATTAATTTTTAGTCTCATTTCCGGTTTAACCGGTTATTCAGTACGATTTTGTAAGTAATTAGTTACCATGATGAATTAAGATACTCAGCTTATTTATAGTTTGGCAGCAGCAGTTAATTCACAGATTCGAATTCAGAGTTAAAATGAGAATGATGCTGAGTAATAAATTGAAACCAGATTACAATTTTGACATTATTGTACATAAGATACCCCTCACGGTTTAGAAAACATAAGGGTATTTCTTCAAAATACTCTATACGGTGTAATTAATGCACCATTATTTTGTTGGGAATAATCTCAAGCAATGATATATTATTACAATCCTTTACGTATACCAATTGTCAAACTACGTTTGATTTTTCACTATCTGACACAGCTCGTGCTGACTCCTCAATTAGAATAACGAGTTGGAGATTATCAGTTTTGGGACCCGGTTCATCACATTCACAGTGTGAAGATTGTGATGGTACTTTAGGGGATTTATCTGTATCTACAACCTCAAAATCTGTGAGGGTGGCGAGGTTATTCACCGAATCTGCTATTTTCTCTGTGATTTCCACAATATCAATCAGTAGTGAAGCCACTGTTGCAGCTGGTACAAGTGATAAGAGGTCAGCTTCTTTCCATGAACATGATTGGAGCAATGACTTGAGGCTCTTCACTGCAGCTTTTGCGTTCGCAACATGTGTGTCTGAAGAAGATGGCCTACTCATTGTTCTAATCGATGATCCTAGTTCCTTAAAGGCTTTGCTAGATTCCAAACTCATATCTAAGCACAACTCTTGGATGGTGGAACGAAATTCCTGGGACCCCTACAAATGTCGAGACAAGTAACATGTCAATACTCACAACCTGTAATAAAGTTCATATTCCAATACATGCAAACTCGTTTGGTTGCAAAACTAGAATCACATGAATTACTATAATTTTATGTCATAGTTACGTGACATATAGGTGAATATTGCTGTTTTTTTTTTTAGATATCAGGTAAAGATTGGTCAAGACTACGAATATATAATGGTTTAAGATTATGTAATACATGATATTTTACTTGGACATGTTAATAAAAGATGTATTAGAATAAGGATGAATACTTTGATATCAGAATTGATGTGTGCATCTAGTGCTTCCATTCGATATGCACATTGGCGAGCAAGAGCACCAATATTGAGGTATAGGTCCCAAGGATGACGAAATCTAAACTTGCCATGACCTGGCTCCCATTTTGCAAAATTGGCCTGCTCAATAAAGAAGTTAAATTACATGAGACATGTGCATGCATGAGATTTTCATTAGGTGTATGAAGGGATATATACAAAGCGCACTCACCAAAGAGTCATCAATACTTTTAGAATTGAGAACCTTTTTATAACCTTCTATAAACGATTTGTCTTCAGATTCTCCTTCTTGTGATATCTTGAAGTATTCACGTACAAAACCTGTAAAATACATCACAAGTTATGTATTATCGAAGGTAAGTTTCCATTTTCTTGTTATATTATTGATAACTTTATCCGCATGCAATTTTCTACTATCTAACCTTCCAAGAAATCGCCAAGTATTTCCAACTTGTGAGCAATGGAATAGTGGAACTCTTCACCAGCCCACACAGGGCAAACAAAAATGGAAATCATCACACAAGCTGAACCCCCTATAAATATGGTCGAAAGCCTCTTGTGTGCCATTTCCAACACTTCAACTTCTCGAAAACCAGAAACGGATATCAAAGAGAATGTCAAGATGAATATAAGCATCCCATAATCATATCTTGCCTTCACTTTCGGAAAAAACCTTATAAATGATGCTATGGCAGCTGCATAACACAAAACAACGATCAAAACAGTTATACTATATATTCACAAAATAAATCATTATTGATTGAAAATAGCTAAGCCTAGAGCCTTGTTCTTTTCTTGAAGCAGCACCATCATCTTTGTTATTATTTACTTTATTTATTATGTGTATTACTTTTTTTCACCTTGCATAAAGACAAATGCACCAATCAGTATTGGTTCCCCTGTTGCTCCAGAAAGGCTGGCAAAGTAATGAGCCCCAACACCAAGAGCACCAGCTGCCAATGTTGCAATTGTCCTATTCAAACCTTTTCCTAGAGTGGCTCCTAGAAATGTGTCATAAATTACAAATACAATAATTAGTTCAACAATGGGATAAATAAAAACAAAGACAAACACGGGTTTTTATGTCATGATCATTGATCACAATATGAACAAATTAACTTACCGACTGTGTACTCAAAAACCACCACTACAGTCATCACAGCCCACATTGCTGATAGACCAAAATTCTCATACAGTGGTTGATAGTAATAGAAAAGAGAAACCAGTGAGATTGCAAGCCCCACTTTTAGTGAATGAATCACTTTTCTAGGATCATCTTGGGCTATCTCTTTCGTTAACCTACAAATTCCCAGCACCTTCTCCTTAAGAACTTTTGGCATGGCCAATACTCGACCAACCACCCCTGCTTTCTCCTGGTTTGTGTTTGGAGATGCCATTTCTCTTGAAAGAAAACAAGCAACTAGGCACAAAGATAGATATGATGTTGTTGTTGCTTAATTAGGTTCTACACTAGCCACCTTCAATGTTTATTTATAGTGTGAGAGGGGCAAGAGAAAGCACCTGATTCAGACTTTGGAGAATAATACTTTAATGCAAATAATAAACATTAGTTAGTGGCCTAATGCGCTTAATAATATATTATAGTACGGTGAGAGTACAAAGACTATCCAAATACAAAAACGGGTTTTGAACTCTCTAAGGTGGAAAAAAGGTAGGAGAATTGACATAGACCCTTAAAGAAAATAATAGATTGGTGCTATGCGACAAAAATTGACAATAATGGTGCATTTTAGACGTGTGTGGCTTGTGTTACATTTTGCAAGTAGCCCACAAACTTAGAATTGCAAAAAACTGATGGCTGGAGACACTTGGCTCCAGTGACAAATTAAATCAGGAAGGTGAAACGAAGAATTGCACCCACTTGGATGTATTCAAGTGGTGAAAACTGGAAAATGTTATTGGAGTACAGCTTCAGTGGTAAAAAAGTTAGTATGTGTTGACTGTAGCTAGCTGTAATCTTTTAAAATGATATACACAAGGAATTGAGTAGGACCTAAAGTTTCAACATGAACATAAATACTTTCAGAGCTTATCAGTGGATCATGCTAGAAGAGACTTGAACTCTTAATTGTCTTCAATCTTCTAGGAGTAACAGTCACATGCAGAGGTCAAGTTATTACATTGCAAGGTCCCCACTCCCTTGGAAGTTAACATCAGCTTATAATTAAGGACATGGCCATCCATATATAATAATTTGGGACTTACCATCATTTTCAACTGTTGAAGTTGGTGTTATACAATATCAATGATAATCCTTTGTGATTCAATGGAATTTATGACACGGGGATTTTATCTGTATCTTAGAATGTGATTGTTCGTTGAAGCCGGAGGGTAGGTCCTGTAGCTAAACCCCATGTAATAAATGGCAATAGTGACCATGCAGTTGTAAACAATTATTCTCAATCAGGAGTTGCTGATATACAGAAATCATGTGTGGATGATGCCTTTTCAAACAAGGATTCATTAACCCAAAATTCTAATCACTTCTTAAAATTGAAATTCTGTCTTCTTTCTTACATATGAATGATTTGTTGAATGATAAAATTAGGAAACACACAATATAAAATGAAAATTATGTGATTAGGATTCAACATCCTTCAATCAGTATAATCTGAATTCTCTATAGGTTAATCTCATTTTGTTGTCTTCGTGAAAACTGAGAACTAAATGAAAATTGTATGTTGTGTGAGAAAGTGAACAAAAATGAAAAGTTTTGTTGTTTGTTTTCAACTGTCTCTCCATGTCTGCATTATCTCTGCGTTTGTCTTGTGCTTTAGTCAAAACTAAAACAATAAAGAACCATGTGCATGTGAAAAAAATGAGTCAGGTTATGTTTTTATCAACATGTTTGATCAAAAATCGCTTATAAACAAGAAATCCTTTTTTTAATACGAAAAATGTACATTCAGCAGAGAAAAAAAGAACGGTGCAATTTGGATAACTGTTAAAAAATTAAATAAATAAAATAATGACAAGTTGAAGCCCAAAACACGCTCATATGCTATCATTAAATATGAACTTTCACAGTCAACATATTATCATCATATTCATGAAGTGTTAAAGATACAACGAATTCAATATCTTCAAATATCACCACAACAATCAAGTCAAAGAGCAAAGCTACACTAATTTCTATCCACTATTCGTTTTTTTTAATACTTTGTTTACAATTTTATTTTTATTATAATAATATTAGATATATTATACTTTAAATATAACTAAAATATATTAAAATATTCCTTATAAAAATTTATTTTATGCAAAACATACACATTAAAATAATCTTCATAATCTTTTTACATACAAGACGTAACCATGATTTTTTTTATTTCAAAATTTTAATTTTATTAAAAAAATCACATATATAGAAAAAGATAATGACACGTCTTTATAAAATATTTTATTTAATAAAATAATTCTTATAAAACTTTTCATATTTATTTAGTTCCTGTAAAATTAAATATGACTTTCTTTTTCTAATTCTTTAACTCTACTGGAAGAGGATAAAGGTAATAATTAGGTGATGGATATAAAATATTCATATTTTTATGTAAATTTCATGATTTTTGAGTTCTCCTAATAATATAAAAATTATTTATGTCATCTATGTCAATTAATTATTTATGTCATTCTTTTAATAGTATAATTTGTTTTATTACTTTACTAATAATACTTTCATTAATATTGAACTTTGAAAATTAGTTTTGGAAATTATTTTTAAAATAGTTAAAAAATATATATAACTAATCCTTGTCTAGAACTTTGGAAGGGAAGTGATACTAGGAATTATCTTAAAAGAATTTTGTCAACGTGTGTCTTAAAAAGTGCGATACAAATTATAGAATAAAAAAAAATACTATGCCTTATTCGTGACCTAAACTCAAGTTATTAAGCAATAAGGGTATAACAGAATATTCTTCTTTTTATCTTATCGTGATCAGAATATTGTTTAAACATAATATCCAGTGGCCTAGTCGAGCTTAGCTAGCACCCAGAAAATTAAATTACTATTTAATATTTTTTATTAAATCTTATGGCCTCTTAAAAAAATTATTTTTACTTCGTTAAATAATAATTTCCATTTCCCGTTTTTATCAAAGGATTTACTTTAACAATTTCAAAAATAAAAAAATAAAAATTAATTTCATAAATATTATAATTTTTTTAATTTTTACACTTTTTTTTTAATTTTACTACAATTCTTTTTCTTTTTTTCTATCCCAACTCCCAAAAGTATGCAAAGATTTTCGCTTTTATTATTATAAGCTTTAACTTCTTGTTTTGATTGAAGAGTAAATTTGAAGAAAAAGAAATATAACAGATAAAATAAAGAATGAAATTGTTTAGATTAAAAAACGAGTGAAAAATCAAAATACGTTTATTTATTATTTTAATATAATTTTCTTAATTATTTATTATAATAATAAATATATTAATTAAAAAATCTTGAACATATATAATCAATTGTATTATGCTTACAAGAATATAATCTATATTACGTTTCATTTTTGAAGTTTTTTCGGTTGGGAAAAAATGATAACATTTTATTTAAATTTGATAATTTTCTTATATTAAAATACATAAAATCATCATAATTTTTTTCCCTCTCATATTTCCCTTGTTGAAATCAAAACAGAACATAAATGATCAACATATATAATGAAAACAATCTGAAAGCGAAAGTAGGATTTGAAGGTGATGACGTGCTTCTCCCAGCCCCCATTGAAAATGAAATTACAATTGGACCACATAGTACCATAAAATTTTGATCAAATCCTATTCCTTTTTCTCATGTCTTCCTGTTTTGTTGAAATCTACACACTTTCTGAGATTTTGTGTTTGGTCGAACTTTTTAAGGAGACTCTTGCCTCTTAGGCGTGTGATACAGCTAGTAACACACTATCTAGGATAGGTAGTTCATCCACTACCATTGATTCCTCTCAAAGTATCATCATTTTATGCATCCAGCTTTAAAGTTGTGGTTCATACACAAAAAGAATATATCAACCCACCTCATCCATAAGTTTTATGTATCCAAAATTTTGCTCAGTTTCAGGAGAAAGGTTACCTTTCCTCATAATTTTGTCCAATAATATACCATATTAGATCGCATAATTTTATGAAAGAATATTTTGAATTACATGTATATCAAATAGAAAAAAAATTAGGGTAAATTGAAATTTCACTTGGACATAGATACACGGTTTAAAAAGATATAACGAAATAAGTAATGCATAAATAAAAGAGAATAGTATCTAATATATGTTTATATTTAATGGATAAAAAAAACGAATTTTAGATTAGATAAACATGTAATATATAAAAAAAATTGTAAGCATCTAAGCAAGAACTAATATCTTGCTCGTTTAGGTGAAGTAAATGGTGAAGAAAAAAAATATTGGCGGTGCCATAATTGGAATACAATTGACATGTTGATTATCAAGTGTTGGAGATGTTAGACACATTGATGTGTCGATATTGGAGCAAAGAGAAGCAAGGAAACATTCCCAACAATAGAACACAAAAATCACATAAAAGGGTTTCTTTTGAGAAATGATGTAAAGACTCATTTTCAACAATTTCTTCACTTATTCTATGCCTTTCATGGGATGAGATGCCTTCTGCTTCTTAACCTATATTTTATTCTCCCATTTCGTACCTTCAAACAAGCTTGTGGTCGAGGCCCCATGCTCCCAATCAACTCGTGAGTTTGGTGACACCAATAACATTCATTTAAGATTGGTGCAGTTGGAGTTACAAACACAACCACTAATAGAGAGTGTAGACATCTAGAATATGCATGCATGCATGCATGCATGCATATTATTTGAATATATTCTTTGTACGTGTTAAGATATCAAGCATTTTGCATTTCGTTTTTCGAGTCATCGTTCTCTCAATTTTTCTTCTTTTAGATGTAATCTGAAGCAGAAGAATCCTATCCATCCCTCACATTAGATCATTGTTCTTTTGCCGTTGCACCTCCCTTTCTTGCTCTAAACTTCTAAATCTGCATATATCGTTATAGCTAGAAAAAAAAAATCTATATATTCGATGACATTTGTATGTGGGGTGGTTATTAGAGACTGAACGTGTGAACCAAACAACCTTCACTTCTTTTGCTTTGCCATTTCCCATGCTGAACTTGTTCAATCCTCTTATAATATTATTATTCAGTAGTTTCTTGGAAGGAGCTCAAATTTTGTTTCAAATAAAAATATCACAATTTATTTGTTTGCGAATAAGAAAAGCTTGACTTTATAACATGCATTGTATATGTACTACTAAAGCAATATATGAAAATTACATTAGAATATTATTATATTATACATATCCAAGTTGGTACATGACATGATAGTAACAACCTTTTGTACTACTCGTGTAGAATACTTGTGAAGGAGGATCAACTATCCTTACATGGGTTTATGGAAGAAACATCTAGTGAACATTGCAGCATATAATCTAATATTAGATTTGGAGGTAGGTCTTGTTTGCCATACAACTTTGCTCAATAATTTATTTACCTTCAAAAAGGAAATTGACAATATATTCCTTGATACCATGTGTAGGGGTTTCATTAAATAAACATTGTAGTATAATAATATCTAGGAAATTGACGTTAAAATATTGAAATGAATGTGTCGCCACTATTTTTCTGATTTTGAATGAAGAAGGTTTGAGCATGATTAGGCTTTGTTTGGTTGGAGTGATTTGAGGGAGTGGAAATGAGAGAGTGGAAAAGGAGGGATTTGAAGAGAAAGGGAGATGAATGAAAAGTGAAAGGAAAGTTTATGGGAAATTGTGAATGATTTGATTGATATGAGATATAAAAATTATAATTTTATGTTGATTATTTAAGAAAATTACCATTTTACCCTTTGTATAAAATAAGGTTCAAATGATTATAAATATAAATTTTTAATTAATTATCCATATTTTAACATTGATTATATATTTAAAAGAAAAAACAAAATTAAAAGTGTTTGTAATTGGAAACAAATTTAAAAAATTAACTTTTTTTAGATAGTTATTAAAAATTATATAAATAAACAATTACAAAATTATGTACATTGCATATCCATATTCAAATAATGTTGACATATTAAATAAATTATTTGACTAATAATTAAATAATTATAAAATATAAAATAATAATTAATATTGATCTGATAATAACAAATAATTATGAAAACTAATAATATAATTGT